AAGCCTCTGGGACCTAGGATGTCAGTTTTAGAAGAGAGATTGCTCTACCTGTAAATTCATCTCTCCTAGAACTGACATCCAAGGTCCCAGAGCCTTTTTCCATATCACTAAAGACTTTTTTAATACAATTCCAGCAACGTAGTGCATTCCATTCTTTACAAGAAATGTTCACTTATTCATATTGCAGACAGCCAGACATCCTGCTGACTGTCTGAGAATATTAGAAAACTGTTGGAAATGGAGGTACCAAAATACCATATTGCACTAAATTTTCAATAAGTTTTCAAAAACTAAAATCCACTATGTCTTTCAAATGAAAAATGTCATGTGGAAAAAAAAATAACAAACCAAAAAATTAAAAACAAAAAACTAAAAGTAAAAACAAAAACTAAAGAAAAAAAACTCAAACAAGTGAAGCATAAGCTATTAAAAATGTTTTATGCCCACATTTATTGTATGTGTGTGTGTGTTTCATGAGGGTAAGCTGGGAGAAATGCAAAAGTATTTCTCATTGGTCATCAGTCTCTCATGAGTGTTATGGCACAAAGCCTTCCTTCATGTACTGAAAAGCCTCTAAGCCTTCAGCTAATAACAGTCACAGATCAACTGCATTAAAAGAGAAATGTTCATTTTTGTCAGCGAGACTTGTCTCTGTTCAAATTTAACTGCTTTAGTTACAGTTGGCAAATGCTATGAGGACTTCAAGACAATTTTTTTTCATGTGAATTGTAAGGGAAAGAAATTATAGGTATTTAAAGCAAGCTAGAGATGTGCTACTAGGTGTAGCATAGAGGTGCACTGCTAGGAATTCAGGGATATTAATTTGGACAATACATATTCCCAGTTAGGAGCATATGGGTACTAGTAAACTCAGAGTGAGCAGAGAAGCTTTTTCAGATTTGCACTACAGCAGCTGCATGTTGAAGGATCCCTGGCAGCTGAACAGCTCCGAGATAGGCTGCTTTTTAGGTATTAGTAGACCAGAATAATCTATGATCACAATATGAGCTCCAGAGTTATCATGTAAACATGGTACTTACACTGCTGTAGAGGTGAATATAAGTGCTTTAAAGGGTATTTCTGAGGTTTGATGTGAGTTGATTTAGCTGACAAAATAAACATGAACCTAGGCGGCACTGTAGTCACCTGAGTGCATTCTTTTTTCCTAGGGGTTTTGGTAGGAGGGAGAAAGAAAGAAAAAAGAGTAAGTTAAAAGGAAAAAGGAAAAGACAAGAAGAGAAAGGAGAAGTAATATAAAAATAAAAGAAAAAGAGAAAATAGAAAATATAAGAGAAAAAAAAGAAGGTAAAACAAAGTAAAATAAAGCGGAGGAAAAAAAAAAAGAAAGGAGGGAGAGAGGTAAAGATGGAGGGAGGGAGGGAGAAGAAAAGCCTTGATTTGGTTGTGATGCTCCTTGGAAAACTACAAATATCCCTAACAACACGAATCTGTGCAATACCAAATCTGAGCTGAGGTCAGAGGACTTTGTGGAGACTAAAATATCTACTGTTGTGTAGTCAGGTGGCGAACTATTGCTTCAACTGAGAGGAATTCTAGAAGCCCCTGAGATTTTCAAAACTATTATTTTTATACATTTACAACTGAAGTTTTGAAAGCTTAAGTGATCCAATGAATCAATAAAAGTATATTCTAGGTTCAGAAATGTCTGAGGATAGACTTGCCTGACTCAGGTGTTTTTCTTCTGAGCTTAGGTCTTTTGTGATTTTTTCTGACTCTTTTGTCTGCCTTCCAGAAGCACAAGGCCTTTTTTCAGTCACCATCATGACTGTAGTACTGTAGCTGCTTCAGCCATCACTTTTGAGGACATGCATGTTTTCTGGCTGAACTGCAAAAATGCTTGTTACTATTGACAACCACTTAACATCCAGAACAAATAGTTTTTCACACTGCAAACAAAAATATTAATTGTTTTAGATGTGGTTATGCTTTTTAACAGCAGATTGGACAGCTCTTCAGCCTGGGAAGCAGCTAAATAGTATTTTGTTTTCTTTATACTAGACATGCATAGAGATCTGGGAAGTGTATTTTATCTGTCACTGTAGCTAGCAAAAGACTAAATTTGTCTACATCAGGCTTCATGCCCTATAAACTGTTTCCCCTTACTTTACATGAACTGTAATTACACAAAAAGGATAAAAGGGTCCGTGGGGCTGCCACTTAAAGGCAAGTAGGATCCATTCCCTTCAGAAATTTATAACCCTCTCTAAAATCTGAGTTTTATTTCCTCCCTTTTTCAAACTAGCACCAGACCCACATTAGCAACAGCCTCTGGAGGAATGAAGAGGAAGCATATTGCACATGCACAGTGGTAGGATATCCCTGAATATCACCAAGCTCCCAGCACTGGGGAAGTGGCAATTTGGGCTGAGCAAAAAAGGGGACATATAGATAGAGTTAAAAGATGCTTTACAAGGATTGCTGGTTCATCAACATGTAAGATGCAAATACCCTCACCTTGCTCATATTTTCTTGTTGATGATTATCCCATACTCTTTTGTATGAGACTGTACTTTCAATCTCCATTACTTTACATGTGTGCATACAGAGACATACACATGTGAACAATTCCATTAAAACTTTCCTTAAAAAGCTAAAAGGCAGTAAGACTGTCATTGATAAGGATTCGCTTGGGGTTTCTAAGCTAGAAAAGCAGTTAACTCCCTCTATGTAAATGGAGAGAAAAGACATCATGAGAGAGTAGTTCTTTGGTGAGGCAACTGTAGATCTTAACTATGCCACTGCTACTTATATGACAACATCATGCTGTTCAAACATGTTATCATAGTCATACAGGTAAAATATGATTACAATTTCACTTGATCCAAGATCTTGCCTCAGCCACAGCATCATATGTCTGCTGCATCTGGTTCTGGTATCTTTGTCGCATCTGTGAGCTCTACATAGGCATCACTGGAAACTTTTCACATGACAGTTAAGCAGTTTTTTTTCCAACATCAAGGTGTGTGAAAGGTTAAAAAGCAGATGGGGCGGGGGGGGGGGGAAAGTATCAGAGAAGTGTAGACAAGGGGGAAAAGATTGTTGAGCAGGAGAAAATGAAAAGTTCCAAGGCAACTGCCTGAAAAGATGTACAAATTGGAGGAATAGCAGAGATACAACTGAGAGAAGCAGTGTCCAAAGGCCCATGAAGCCACACCAGGCAATAGCAGTGACCATGGCTTCAGGCTCATACCTTTGCCACGGTTTTAATAACCTGACATCTCTTGTGTATATATCCATCACCTTTTGGTACCTCCAAGACAGTCCACTTGTGAACATTGGTGGAACTCCTGTTTTACTGAGGAAATAAAAGCAATATACAAAAATTCAAACATAGGTTTCAGTAGTTAGCATACAGTAAATTATTAATCTTTATTAATTAATCTGGGCTTTCCTAAATCCACCAATGTATTTGAGCAGATTTTTTTCACTCTTTTCAGAAAAATAAGTAGCATGCAGGCATTTTAATAACCTCACATCTCAAGTCTATGCATTTCTAGTACCTTCAAGCAGTATGATTCATCTGTCGACCACTTAATTTCTGAACTTGAAGGGTAGTAAGCTATTTAAACAGAAAGGGAGAAATGCTTTATTGGAAATAAAGATGTCATTCTATTTTTAAGAACTTAGTCCCTATCTCCTGGTTTTACTTGTTACATATTCTCATCCTTCATAAAATTATAGACCACCTGCTGTCAAGCAAATATGATGATCATATAAGTAAGTATAACCAGGTAAAATGCAACCAAGCAGCTGATCTGTTTCCTGCATCTTCATAGCTTATAGGATTAAAGCATGGCAAGCAGAAAAGTACAGGGATCAGTTACACAGATCAATCTTCATTTGGGTTTGTTACTTTGATGTGTTCCAAATAAATTCCTTTTAAGAAGTATGGATGTGGTTGCCACTTATGGTGATTAAGTATAATCTAATTTGATTCAATATTTTACAATATAACTTTCCACGCTCTTTTCTGAAGATTCAGGAAATTTCACACTTAAAAGACTGCTGACTAGGAACCTAATTCTACCAACCTGTTGAAGGGGTAAATTGGATGGGTGAGAGAGGTTACCAGTTTTCGTTTTTCAGAACTATCAGACAAATGTTGTTACAAATTTAAATATGCTGCACCTCTTATGTCTTGCCTGTCAAGACGGTTAATAAAGACCTGTATCTAGCTTGTCTTTCTGAAGACAAGTCCACTTGTCCAGACTTTCAAATGCATTGCTGGTAGGTGAATGCAAAAAACACAAACCCAGACTGCGTTAAAGTGGTTCTGTTTGAACTTTTCTTCCTAGGTTAACAGGTCAGAACCACTGACAGGGTTTAGAATTTTAAAAGCTAGATTAAAGATAAAATTAACTAACACCATTATTCTTTTAATAAAGAAACCACAGGATGAGAAACAATATAAATAAAAATAATCTGGTAAGAAATCTGTCTCAAAGCACTGGGACAGGACTTGCTACCAACCAATGTACATCATGCTGGTGACTATGGAAATAAACTATTACCTTCCATATTGCCTTTTAAAGCAGCTTCATTCATAGTTATGACAAATGTAACCCTAATAAAATTTTCCTCTCCACACCATTTCACTCATTCATAAAAGTCCTTTGAAGGTTTGTATTAACAGTTTAGAGTATGGTGCACGTCTCTGCACACGTTGGGCTCCAGTTTCAAGGATCTGTTCACCATAAACTATTTGGTTGGCTACTGGCTTACTGTCCCACTTTATATATTAGAATTTAATGGGAGGAACTCTATTTTGTATGACAGCAAAAACTATTGAGGAAGAAAAAGCAACAAGTAAAAGATTTAGAACCTTTAACTAAAGCTGTTTTCCTGGAACTGAGCATTTTTTCATAGCCTGAAAAAAATGAAAGATCACATAGGTAAAGAAATTTCACAGCACAAGACACATTAGAATATGAAGAGTAAACAGCCCATCAAGAAATGGGCTTCTATATAATCACTTTTTCCAGCAGAAAAAGCAATATGCACTTTTCTCTAAAACTCTGTTGACCACAGTTTTCCCATGGACACATTTGCACTGACAATAAGTGTCTGCAAAGAGGAATAATAGAGATCTGATATTATCGCACTTAGCATGACTAATCAAATAACAAATGAATTAAACCTTTGCAAATTGCACTGCGCATATAGATCTGACTGATGACTGTGGTGAACAGTTTGTGAATTACAGCATGATTAATGGAAACTGGTAGATTTCAATCCATGCTCTTGACAGAGATATGAAATAGTGTGTGCAGTTGTATAGGAGTCTCTGGCTGAAAGCTTGACACTCCAGCAATTAAATGAGCCTGACAAGCACGAGGCCACTGCCTTTGCAGATGGGTGTGCGCATATCTACGCAAATGAAATTACTCGAAAGAAAACCAACACATAAAGCTCATAAAGCTGGACTCCCTGTTTTTCCCCTGCTTAAGTAAGGAGATACCCAGGAGGCTTTAAATCAGGGGGCCTTATAGTGCTCTTTAAGTCTGAGAGTTATGAAATCTGCTAGAGTATTCTAGTTTATGGAAGCACTCCCCTTTCAAACTCGCTATTTCAGGCTGATTTTTGATTTCATTGTTTTGTTGAGACAATGCTGATATTTAGTATACCTTCTTTCACTGAAGATCCTCATTTTAATGTTTGAGTGTTTTCCAAATAATATCAGTAATGGAAGCTCACAGGCCACATTAAATCTTTACATCCTTTCAAGGCAAAACTCTGCTTGAGTGAGAAGACAGTGTAGGAGGCAGAACAATCAAAGGAAAAAGGAGTATTGTCAATTCTTTTTCACAATTGCAATCAAAGACTATCTTTATCTCACGTCCCCTATTGTTAATCTTTGGTCAATATCTGAGTCAATTTTCCCGCTGCAGACTTCTTATTTCTATCCCTCACATCTTTCTCTCCCTCAAGTCGTAACACTTTATAGCTTGAAGCTGTTTCTTCACGTCCTGTCCCCAGGATGTCACTCTATTACCTGAGTCCCACAGTGTTTTCTGACTTCCTTCCACAATCACTTTCTAAATCCTTATTCTTCAAGGATCTATCCCTGCCTATTTATCTCTCATTTCTATTTTGATGTGTGTATCATATTCTTTCAACTCAGAAGCATGAATTTCTTTAGCTCAGCTGTGAAATCTGTGCTGAAATAACATACACCCATCCTCTATAATATTTCAGCTTCTTATGTACAGAACATACAAAATTAAAAACAAAGCATCAGATCCTCAGCCTTGCTATAACCAAACTACAGACAAAACTACATAGTTACTGGCTTTACCATAACAAAATTGAATATAGCTCCTGTCAGTATCTCAACTTCAACGTAACAATCTATGTGAAAATAGTGATAGCAAAGACTAGAAGACTGAAGTACACTGTTTTTTGTCATCATATAGACCTTCCTGTCAGGCAGGGTTAATGATGTGCCATCTCTTTCAAATCAGTACTTCCTGAAGTTGTTTACTAAAATGAAATAAAATAGGAACAATGTTCTGGTAATCATTCCCATGGGATCCCTAATGAACAAAAGGTTTTACCTACCGTCTGGACCTGCTCAGGTGGTCTTTGATCTTTGGATATTTCTGTCCTGCCAGAGCAGAAAAAAAAACCCATCAACCACAAAACCGGTAACTGAAATTGCAGCAAAATCCCATGTCTTTTCGGAAGGCAGTAGGAGCATCCCCATTGTTAAGGTAATGGGAAGAAAAAGAGAAAAAAAGAAAACAGGGAGTTTTTAAACACATCTGAGGAAGTCACATTACTGAGAATATTTTCTCTACCGAAAAAAGGGAAAAAAAATAATTCTACAAAGTCTAGAGACGAAGGTGGAGGCACACCTAATTAAACTTCACTAGTTGAAATTACAATAAATATCCAATTTGAAATTCAAATAACTAAAATAGTATACACTTTGAAATATCCATTTTGAAAATAAAATACCCAATTTGAAATTTAAATGTCTCATAAAAACATTCCCAAAATCTGAATGGGTGTCTGGACAATGATGATGTAGTACCACCAACTGATGAAAATACCATTGAACATTTGAAAACAACTGTTCTGTCCAGGATATTGAAGATAAAAATCTTGGCTTTGCTGAAGTCAAGAGCAAAGCTCCCATGGACTTCTTCAGGGCCTCAGTTTCAAACTGAAGCTTTGGAAGGATTGTGAACTTGAGAATAAGACAATTGTTACTGGTTATAATTTCATACTAAAATTATTATATAGCCTTCCTATATATATCTCTATATTCTCAAGAAAGTACATAGACAAATTTCTTTCAGCATTTTAATATGTAAAAACACAGCTGCTCCAAATATATAGTGGAAATAGTAGGTTTTTTTAAAAAAAACAAAAAGTCTTGAAGTGTCATATTGTTATGTCTGTTCTACTATATTATTTTAAAACCTCAACTAATAATCTGTGGAAAAAAATGTAGACATTCAAAGTTAACGTATTCCATCTCTTCCATTTTTTCCCTTGTTTAGCCTACCTAATGCTGGCTTCCTTCGAGGAAAGCACTTGCTGAAAAGCACTCTTCACTATTTTACTTTTTTCAGCAAAAGGCTGGAAAAACACACATACATATACAAACAAATCTTAAAAACCTTTCTCATAGAAAGATTGACCCTGAAGATGAAGGCCATTTTAAAGAAAAAAAAAATATTTTAAATAAAAGAACACAAATAGTGATCAATTCTGCTTATAAAACCCTTGTAGTACAGAAGGGCAAATATGCTGTCCTGTGGGGTGTGGATACAGCTCTTCCCGAAATGCAGGAATAGCACAAGAAGGAAGTAAGGCACTATGCAGTCTAAACCAAAGACTGGGTTAGTTTGGGTTTTTTTATTTTTCTGACATTTCAAGTCTATCCAGAGATGGATACACCTGTATGAACCTTCAGCATGCCACCATCATAGAATCATACAATAATTAGGGTTGGAAAGGACCTTAAGACCATCTAGTTCCACTCCCCCTGCCATGGGCAGAGACACCTCACACTAAACCATGTCACCCAAGCATCTGTCCAACCTGGCCTTAAACACTGTCAAGGATGTAGCGTTTACCACTTCTTTGGGCATCCTGTTCCAGTGCCTCACCACCCTGACAGTAAAGAACTTCTTCCTTATATCTAACCTGAACTTCCCCTGGTTAAGTTAAAGTTTGAACCCATTACCTCTTGTCCTATCACTACAATCCCTAATGAAGAGACTCTCCCCAGCCTTCAGATACTGGAAGGCTGCTATGAGGCCTCCACGCAGCCTTCTCTTCTCCAGGCTGAACAGCCCCAACTTTCTCAGCCTATCTTCATATGGGAGGTGCTCCAGTCCCGTGATCACCCTCATGGTGCTCCTCTGGACTTGTGCTAACAGTTCCATCTCCTTTTTATGTTGAGGATACCAGAACTGCACATAATACTCCAAGTGAGGTCTCCCGAGAGCAGAGTAGAAGGGCAGGATCACCTGCTGGTCCTGCTCCTTTTGATGCAGCCCAGGATACGCTTGGTTTTCTGGGCTTTGAGTGCACACTGCACCCGACTCATGTTATGATTCTCATCAACCTACACCCCCAAGTCCTTCTCCGCAGGGCTGCTCTGAATCTCTTCTCTGCCCAACCTGTAACTGTGCCTGGGATTGCTCCTACCCAGGAGTAGGACCTTGCACTTAGCATGGTTAAAATTCATAAGTTTGGCATCTGCCTACCTCACAAACATGTCAAGGTCCCTCTGGATAACATTCCTTCCCTCCCGCACAACTGAATCACATAGCTCAGCAGACTTGCTGAGCACTCACTCAATCCTGTCCATGTTGCCAGCAAAGTTGTTGAACATCCTGGCAAGGTAAGCTTACTTCCCAAGGTAATATGAAGATAAGCCTCACTCCCACAGTTTGCCTTTGAGTGTGTAAAAGTCAGACTTCTCTACATCTGTGCATGAGAAGTCTGCTGCTTCATGCTTCCTCAGTAACCTGGAGAAGGAAACAGAGAGGAGCATATACGAAAATTGCTGTCCTCTGCCCACCCTTCACAGCAGAAAACAAAGCCCAGGAGACTGTGTGGTCCCAAGCCGCCCCTAGGATCTTCAGTCAGGCAGCTGAAACTGGGAGCTGAGATAGCTCTGAGTCCCACACTGTGGACATCTGTCTATCCCATGCCCTCTACGAACACTGCTTTTAAAGGTGGGAATTATTGTATCTTCAAGGGCAGATTCAGAGAACTGCTTCCTGGAAATGAAAGCAGCTGTAGAATTTAACAACTTTTGCCACTGCTAAACTTTAATGGCCTCGAACTGTTAACCTGAGAAGATTTTAGATGTCATTACCAATCCGTTGTGTCATCATTCTTTCGGTCATTCATTGACACAATGTCCAAATGACATGCAATTTCAGAAATAATTGGACTGTGCTTTACACTCACATTCAATACACCTTTTCCTTCAAGTTTCTTTTTGTGATTCACGATGAGCAAAGATTTAAAAAGCCTTAAGAATACAGAAAATTTCTTCTTGTTTCAGAAGCTGAAAAGACTAATACCTCAAGGTGACCTGCTGCAAACTTGATTCTGATTTTGACCAAATTGCCAGAAGATAGAATTGGAGATGTTCAGAGTAGCAATTTAGAATAAACTATTATTGAAACAAATGTGACAGTAACAATTTTAATGAAAAAGAGAAAGGCTAGAAAACTCAGGTTGTGTTTTCAAAGTCTCTGAAGTCTCTAAATGAGATATTTGCTGCCTCAACAACAAATGCAAGAGCCACAATTTCAAAAGGTGTAACAAGGGAAGAACAAAGATTGGCCTGATAAAAATCACTAGGCAAAATCAGAAATTATCATACTGAACAATACCACTTGTTCATCATCCTGTATTCCTTTGTCTGGGTCTGCGTAGCTGGGGTTTTTGTTGTTGTTTGTTTTGCTTATATCCCTTCTTAAACTTTAGATCTTATGGATAGGGACCGTCTTTTTCCACTTCTGTATATTCAGCGTCATGCTCATTAGGGACATGGTATAGCACTGCCAATTTTCAGTGCTGTCACAGAACAAAAAAAGAATATATACAAATTAGATAACCTAATTTTGTTTAAGTGAAAGTTACTCTGTTGTTTGCTGAATGGTGAAGGAACTCGGTGCTAATTTCATGATGCCTGTTGCAAACCTCTCAATTTTGATAAATGTTCAGTTATTATTATTTCTGTTATTGTTAATATTATTGTTTTTATCAATAGATAAAAACAGCAGATTTTTTGTTGTTGTTGTTGCTATTGCTGCCATTATTATTTGTGTGCTTAATATTATTGATATTATTTGACTCAAATCTGTGAACAAAGTGCTGGAATATTAATTGTTTTAGCCACTGTTTGAAAAAAAAAAAAAGTTAAAAGGATCAAAAGTTCAGGTATTGCCCCAGTGTTGTGAATGTTGTTATTTAGATGAATTGTGGTTCCCTGGACAAAAGGCATAGTGTTTTAGTTGGGTCTTATTGCATTAGAGTGCAGACCAAAGAAGCAATTGAGTGACAGGATACAATATGAGCTAGAAAATAATTTATGAAATAAAAAAAAACAGTAACCCAGCTTACGTAGGTAGCCACACAGCTATGGCTGATCATGATTTACCTCTGACATTCCCTTGAAACAGGTGACATCTAATGCTCTTCTATGAGATACATTTCCATATTTTGTAGAGGTCACATACACTCCCTTTGTAGAGTTTTGCTAAGGGCACACTCAAAATATATCTACACTTTTGTTCACTTTATTTTGTAAACAGTAAGTAAAAGACCTCCAGCTCTAACCTGATATTATTAGTACTTTTGTTTTATTTCATATTATTATTTGGAAATATGAATTAAAAATATTAATAAAGCTAGGAAAAAGGTAAACAACAGCAATTACAGTTGCTTTTGAGAAAGTAAATGTTTTTCTGAGAGGGTGATTCTTATTTTGATGATCTGTGTAATGACATAGTTATTGCTTTAAAAAGTGATAACAAGCATTTATCGTCTTCTTCAAAATTTAAATTGACAGTGCATAAATACTTTAATAACCACATCCACAGAAGAAAAATCTGAGTAGAATCAGAGTACAGCATAAGAAAAGATACTATGTAGGAGGTCTCATTAAGATATCTCTAGATGAATGCATGAAAACAGCAGGGCCACTGATAATTCATGCTTGAGAAACGGTGAGCTATTTTCCAAGAAAAAAAGAAAATGCATAATTTCAAGTACATGAATATTAGAGAACTGGCAGAGGGGTTACAAAGCCAGAAGCAATGTCTTGTTTGAAGAGCTAAAATGTGTCACATAATCATTCCTCATAGTTTTGCCTGGCTCTATATGTGCAGGAGCAAACTCACCTACACCACCTAACAAAGTTCCTGCTCTCAGTCTTCATCCCCTTCAGCTATATAGGAACCTTTGGGTATAAAGTCACATAAATAATCAATGGAAAAAGCATTGAAACAAATAAGAGGGCCTGGCAAGGAAACAAACAAATTAATCCCACCCTGAGTATTTTGTTACCAAAACTAAGTCAAGAGGAGATACTGGAAAAGAAAAATATTCCATCTATCTCTTGACATCAGAGAGTTACTACCTTTGGTTTTAAATTTCTGCATGCTTTACTCTTTTGAATTACATTTTTTAAACAGCTTTGTTAAGGTACATGGATCCTGAAATGTGTATGTAAGCCAAAAAAATCTGCATTGGCCTCAGCCTTGCTCAAGTAATTCATTGTCTACCCACTGGGATATCTTCTTTCTCCAGGCTTTGTCGGAACACTGCCCTTCTGCCTTTCCACTCTTTCGACACAGATTATATTTCATCCACAGTCACTAGTCTCCATCTTGCCAAGTGCCACTGACCGAACTCTCCACCTTTGCCAATATGATGCAATGTTACTTGTCTATACTCCCTCATGTATTGTTCCCTTGTCCCTTTTGAAGCAGCTTGCCAGCAACACAGTATGACTAATAAAAATCAGAATACGCTCTTACATGATTCTAGTTGCTGCTTTTAGGTTCATTTCACTATCACATCACAAAAATAATGAATTCAAGAAAAGAAGGTCCAAACTGTATAAAAGATCTAGACATATTTTCTTTTCATTTTCTGAGACTTATAAACAAACAAAAAAAAATATTGGCCCTTGGGATAATTCTTACAAGTCAAATAACATCAATGAAAACCACTATGTCCATCAGTGGAAGTATTATGTCTCATATATACATTCCTGTGAACTACTGATCCTGCACAAATTAAAGATAAATGAATAGCGGACTATGTCATCATAATTTTATGGGTTTTTTTACTGAGTTACTGTAGTTCACGTTAATGGTCTTTGCCCTCATGTCTGGTAAGCAAAGAAAACTCTTTTGGGCTGGCAGCTCTTTACCTCTGTTTCTAGAGCAGAGTGAAAAAAAACAAAGCAGTGATACCAATTTCCTACTTATTGGCTGGTTTTAAGTAAAAGGATTGACAGAACATTAAAAGTTATGAAGAAGACAGATACTGTGGCAATTTAACCTTTCCACTCAGAAATACAGAGGTAAGAGAAAAACATCTATTGTTCTAGGGAATAAAGTATCAGTAAAAGAGCTGTTCTCAAGCTCCACTTGCCTCCCATTAGAAAGCTGAAAGCTAAGAACTATATATCATCTATCAATATCTCTAACAGAGACATTACACCTGCTTACCTATCCATATCAATGTATTCATACAGGAAGCAAACTCAAGTTAGAGATAAGAGCCTTGAGAGCATCAAACAAGGCAGCTTTTATTCAGCATCTGTAAGAGTTTAGGGAGGGTTGCCTGTTTACACAATAAAAGGAATTAGTTTTCTAACCAATCAAGAAATAAGAAAAGAGTATAACAAAAAAAAAAAGTCAGGACTAAAGCAGGACTATTCTAAATGTGCTACAAATATAAATGTATATTCACAGTTATAAGCAAGTGTTTTGTATAAACAAGATTAAATTTGGAAAACTTATTTGCCCTTTTGTCCTTGCAAATTGCACAAAGCAAGAAAACATAAAGCAATTTTAACCATCCTATCTAGTCCATAAGGCGTATTTCCAGCACTTCCAGTCTTCACAAGGAGTGCCTTTTCTCCTCCAAATTACAAGGAACTTGTGCATATTACATTGCAGTATAGGCTGGCACACTGTAAAAATTATTGCCTATTCACCACTGACATCACCCCACAAAGCTGAATATGTAACCTATCAATGAAAGACTTTATGTTCTGTAATTCTTAATTTGATAGTAATGAAAATCTTTGAGAATGAAATTCGTTATAAGTTCATTACTAGGAGACTCTGTACTTCAAATAGATAGATGGGCATTCACAGCCGCCAGCGTGAAAAATGTGGCAAAGAAAAATACCAGGAAGAAAGGTACAGGCTTCATCAAGTGTTTCACTTGGGTTTTCAGGGTATTGAGTTTGAGGAACCTGAGGATTTTGTTGAGGGCTTTTTGTTTGGTTTGGGGGGTGTTGGGTTTTATTTTTTAAAAGTAGCAACTGGTTGAAATTAATTTTAAGATTTTTCCATACACCAAAAGCCTCTATTTTCCACAGTAGTCCCTAGGCACTACCCCTTACAATTGCATGAAGTCAGTAATACTGTCTGAAAGAACAGGCACTATTTTTACATGCTCACAGAGTAATGAAACTGTTTGGATAAATATGGTGGGTTTTTTTTTTTAATTTAAATAAGTTGTAGGGTGTCCATGTGGGGGTATTGCAGACAATGAAATAGCCTTCTCCATTTATCAAAGTCAAAACTGATAACTTCTTAAAGATGACCAATGGATAACAACATTATCTCTTTAATTTTGTGTGGCAGAAGATCATCTCATCAGAAAATATATTTATATTATTTAGATGAAGTTTATGTATTTAGTCAAGCTGGGAATGCCTTCCAGTTAAGGTGGAAACAAAAGTGCACTAACATGTTATGTTTCATGGTGAGATGAAATGCAACTTTGGAAACAGATTTGACATTTGAAATTTCCCTGTGTTGCAAAGACAGAATTTGTTTCGCAGACAAAAAAAACACTCAGTATACGCATCTGGAGGAAGTTGTGCACGGTTCTTCAATGCACCCCTGGCAGCTGATAATGGAGAGCTGTTGGCAGCATTTAGAGAGGCAGATGCTTACCTGTGCTCCTACAGTGTTCAGTCTTGGCTTGATGACAAGGTGAGAAGAAGGACAAGCCATCACAGAGTGGGGGCAATTGGCAGCTGGTACCCTGCTGGGGAAGGGTAAATGGGTCACCTAGGGCTTCTTGCTCATCTGTAGCAGAGTCATCAAACCAAGCCAGAATATGCGCTTTTAAGAAAACGAAGCAATTCCTTATACAGGAGAATAGAAATAAATTAAAAAGTTGATAATTTAAGCAGAATTAAACAAATTGGTTTTCAGCTTGGTATTTGATACATTGCTGACTGAAAAATACCACCTATACCATAAAATTGCAACCAGGTTTACCTGTGTACTTAGTGAATGAAAAACTTGCAGAGCCAAGTGACAGGTGTTTTACTGGCGGTTTTCAATGTCAACTGGATGCTACTGAAGCTCCATAGAAGGCACTTCCCTACATACTGCTTCTTCATCGCTTTCTCTTGTTCAAGCTGGAGGGCTTGTCTTATTTTCCCTTTTTATGAAAACTGATTCTCATCCACTAGTTGTTCATCATGATGCACCGATAGTATGGAAGGTCTAACCCAGGAAAGCATATGACAGACAACAAAGAACCTACTTAGAGGAAAACAAAACCACACAAAACAAAACAAAACCAACATCTGAAACTCAGGAAAAAAATAACAAGAAAGAGTAAAGAGAAAACCTGAGCCTTTTCTTTGTAGAAGTTAGTTCCTGTTTCCCTGCTGCGGTAGGATGTGTTGACATCAAAGATACCATGCCAGATCATGATTTTCTGAATTTGAAAGATCAGTGACAAATAAGAAAATATAGGGCTTCCAAGCATATTTATTTCATGCTTAGACAGCTAGTTTATTCAGAAGCACACTGTCAGTTTTGACATTGCAGCAAGGATTTTTTAAACGTGCAGATTTTCAGAGAAAATAGTCTGGACAATGTCAAGTGAGAAAGGTTTGTCTCACAGAGGCAAAAGGATGCTGGGGCACGAATTAGCAGGGCTCATTTGGAGAGCTTTAAACTAGATTAGAAGGGGGATGGGGTTGTTGCTGGGCTTGCCCCAGTGGAGCAGCGCTCCAGAATTAATGAAGACTGGGAGGCCTCCTATAATCCTAGGGTGAAATTGGTGTGCTCAGCTCGCTCCCTGAAATGTCTGTACACCAATGCGCGCAGCATGGGAAATAAACAGGAGGAGTTGGAAACCTGTGTTAAGTCAGGAGACTATGATCTGGTGGCAATTACAGAGACGTGGTGGGACAGCTCACATGACTGGAATATAGTCATGGAGGGCTATGTCCTTTTCAGGAAAGACAGGCCAGCCAGGAGGGGTGGTGGGGTTGCTCTTTATGTGCGGGAGGAACTACAATGCACCAAGTTCTGTCCAGGGACAGATGACGAGTGAGTTGAGAGTCTGTGGGTGAGAATTAAGGGGCAGGCTGGCAGGGGCGATACTGTTGTAGGTGTCTGTTACAGACCACCGGATCAGGGTGAGGAAGTTGACGAGGCCTTCTACAGGCAGCTGAGAGCGGGAGAGGAGCACTGCTGGATCTCATCCTCACTAACAAGGAGGATCTGGTTGAAGCAGTAAGGGTTGAGGGCTGCCTTGGTTGCAGCGACCACGAGATGGTGAAGTTCAGGATCTTGTGTGGTAGGACTAGTAGAATAGCAAGTAGAATTGCAACCCTGGACTTTAGCAGGGCAAACTTTGGCCTTTTCAAGCAATTGCTAGGGGAAATCCCATGGGCAAGGCTGCTTGAAGGAAAAGGGGCCCAAGATAGTTGGTTGATATTCAAGGACTGCTTTTTCCGTGCTCAAGATCGGAGCATCCCGACACGTAGGAAGTCAAGGAAGAGGGCCAAGAGACCTGCGTGGCTAAATAGGGAATTGCTGGGTATGCTCAAGTGGAAGAGGAGAGTTTACAGGTCATGGAAGGAGGGGCTGGCCACTTGGGAGGAATATAAGGCTGCTGCTAGGGGATGTAGGAAGGCAGCTAGGAGGACTAAGGCATCCTTAGAATTAAACCTGGCAAGAAGGGTCAAGGACAGCAAAAAGAGCTTTTTCAAGTACATGGCAGACAAAACTAACACCAGAGGCAATGTAGGCCCACTGATGAACGGGATGGGTGCCCTGGTGACAGAAGATGCAGAGATGGCAGAGTTACTGAATGCCTTCTTTGTCTCTGTCTACTCTGCCAGAGGCAGTCCTGAAGAGCCCTGTACCCCGGAGACCTTAGATGAAGTCAGGTCGACGGAACGGTTTGCCTTAGTCGATGAGGAATGGGTTAGAGATCAGTTGAGCAATCTGGACATCCATAAATCCATGGGTCCAGATGGGATGCACCCGCGGGTGCTGAGGGAACTGGCGGAAGTCATTGCTAGACCACTCGCCATCATCTTTACCAAGTCTTGGGAAACGGGAGAGGTGCCTGAGGACTGGAGGAAGGCAAATGTCACTCCAGCCTTCCAAAAGGGTAAGAAGGAGGACCCGGGTAACTATAGACCGGTCAGCCTCACCTCCATCCCTGGGAAAGTGATGGAACACCTTGTCCTTGGTGCCATCTTAAGGCATATCAAGGATAAGAGGGTTATGAGGGGCAGTGAACATGGCTTCACCAGGGGGAAATCATGTTTGACCAATCTCTTAGCCTTTTATGAGGAAATAACACGGTGGATGGATGATGGCAGAGCGGTGGATGTGGTCTACCTTGACTTCAGCAAAGCATTTGACACAGTCTCCCACAGCATCCTCACAACTAAATTGAGGAAGTGTGGACTGGATGATCAGGTAGTGAGGTGGACTGCAAACTGGCTGAAGGAGAGAAGCCAGAGAGTTGTAGTCTATGGGGCGGAGTCTAGTTGGAGGCCTGTAACTAGTGGAGTGCCTCAAGGGTCAGTACTGGGACCGGTATTATTTAATATATTCATCAATGATTTTGACGAGGGAATTGAGTGTACTATCAGCAAGTTTGCTGATGACACTAAGCTGGGAGGAGTGGCTGACACGCCAGAAGGCTGCGCTGCCATCCAGCGAGACCTGGACAGGCTGGAGAGTTGGGCAGGGAATAACTGGATGAAATATAACAAGGGGAAGTGTAGAGTCCTGCATCTGGGCAGGAACAACCCCAGGTTCCAGTATAGGTTGGGGAACGACCTGTTAGAGAGCAGTGTAGGGGAGAGGGACCTGGGGGTCCTAGTGGACGACAGGATGACCATGAGCCAACACTGTGCCCTTGTGGCTAAGAAGGCCAATGGCATCCTGGGGTGTATTAGAAGGGCAGTGGTTAGTAGGTCGAGAGAGGTCCTCCTTCCCCTCTACTCTGCCCTGGTGAGACCCCATCTGGAATATTGTGTCCAGTTCTGGGCCCCTCAGTTCAAGAAGGACAGGGAGCTGCTGGAGAGAGTCCAGCGCAGGGCAACCAATATGATTAAGGGAGTGGAGTATCTCCCTTATGAGGAAAGACTGAGGGAGCTGGGTCTCTATAGTTTGGAGAAGAGGAGACTGAGGGGTGACCTTATTAGTGTCTATAAATATATAAAGGGGGAATGTCACGAGGATGGAGCCAGGCTCTACTCAGTGGCAAACAATGATAGGACAAGGGGTAATGGGTGCAAACTGGAACACAAGAGGTTCCACTTAAACTTGAGAAGAAACTTCTTCTCAGTGAGGGTGACAGAACACTGGAACAGGCTGCCCAGGGAGGTTGTGGAGTCTCCTTCCCTGGAGACTTTCAAAGCCCGCCTGGACACATTCCTGTGTAACATTATCTAGGTGTTCCTGCTCCGGCAGGGGGATTGGACTAGATGATCTTTTGAGGTCCCTTCCAATCTCTAGCATACTGTGATACTGTGATACTGTAATTAAATACTGAGGTATCTTATGATGTAGATGTATTTAAAAGTGAAAGACAGGGGTAACATTAGGCAAGAGGAACATATTAGGTATCATTTTTCTTGTCTTGGCTGAAGGTGAAACCACCTCAAGCATTGGTATGCAACATGTGTTTAAACCTGAGAATGGTCAAGCATGGATACTGAGACAGATGTCTTTTAAATAAATGAACAAAGAGTCTGGAATCTGCAGGTTGGATAACATGTGACAGCACAAAGACCATTCATTTGTCATATTCATGAGCTTGTTTCAGGCCCTCCTCACAGAGAAAAAAAAAAAGTCCAGGTGTTTAAATCAAAAGACTAGAGTCTTTGGGCATGTCATAAGCATTTGTGAAGTCCAGAAATCTGATTAGTCTGTTCAGTTTTGCCAAAAATACTTTTCATCAAAAGGAGTTTGCTCCATAATTTTATCTTGGAAAGCAAACATTTACTGGAAACCAGTGTACTTCTCAGGCTGGCGAGCATTTCTAATAGTAATCACTGGAGAATGATGCATTCCAGTACTTTAAAGTATCTAAACAACATTAGTATTAGCCAACGGATTTAATGAATTAGAGAGGCTTTTTCATCTTAGATATCTACTAGGCCTTTGAAAACTTGCCCTTTGATCATTCAGGATATCAAGGGTTTTTTTTTTCTAGATCTGTCAGTAGCTCTGAAGTATGATGCAAATGTAATAAACTGATCTGTATGTTGTGTCATCAGATGGAGAAAGTCTCTAAACGTAGGTGAAATTTACCACCTGCAGAGGTCAAGGATCATACATTGTCTTTAATGATGACAAGAGCACAGTTCTAGATGTAAACTCCAGTGATTTCTCTTTATATGATGGTTCTGAATATCCTGAAGCAGCACTGTAACCATTAGAATCATTTACATAAATTTATGATTGGACCAGCATTGGCAGCATTTGCTCTTTCTAGTTAACCCATAGAGGCTAGATCAGACTTACAGTCAGAATACCCCAGACCTATGTGACTTTACAAATGCTGGAAGATGCTACTTCAATGCAAAACACAGCTCATTTCAGGAAATGACAACGACATCAAAAAATTACAGGTTTTGTAGCTTATCTGACATCTACTCTAAATTTCCTATTTCGTAAGTGATCCTCAGAAGTTATATTTCCATTAAGCCAGGGATTTTCTATACCCATTAGCCTTTGTTTGCTTCTTCAATGGCAAGAACTTACAAAATTATTCAAAGCTATCTTTCATCAAGATGGTGAGGTATGCATCACTTGTGAAAATGAGTCAACCCATAATAATGTGCAACATA